TTTATATGTATTTGCTTCTATAGAAGCACTTTTTATGTAATGCAGTAAAGAAACTTAAAAATTAAAAAAATTTAAGTTTTCAAACCGTCGGTTTATAGGTCTCTATCCAGTTTACAGGCCGGGCTTCAGTACCCTCTTAACCCGCACGACCTATGTGAAACGGAATACATATATTAACTCATACTGATAATGAAGCGAGTTGAGAAAATCGTAAATTTATCCGCGTCTTATCAACGTGTACGTAAGCATTTTTCTTTTCTTTTGCAAAATGATTTTTATTACTGCTGTTTTAAAAAAAACTCATAACTTTGTTCTTCATTGATACTATGTTTATTGTATAATACTTTCAGACATGATTGTTAATAAGGTTTGAATAGCAACCCTATATATTGTAAAGAACAATACAACACTGTTTCCGAACGAAGTACTATCTAAATTTGTTTTCGAATCAAAATAAAGTAAAAGGTGCTTGTTCATTGATGTGCGTGTACATAAAATATACTTGGTCTGAGTGTACAAACAAAGTGGTTTTGGTCATACTGATGATGCTTTATTGAGTAGAAACATTTGTGAAAATTGTAAAACACACATACACAAGTACCATCTAAAAGCTAAATTATGCGACTTACTGAGAGTAAAGCTGCAACAATTAAATTGTTTGAAAACGTTGCGTTAAAAGAAAAATAATTCCAAACGCAAGAAGCAATACAAATAATAACAAATAATACTTGTCACGCAAGTTCATAATGGTAAAACACGTCACGTTACATTATTTCACGTAAGCGAGTAAATTTACAATATGAGTTTAAAAAGTTGCTACTTTTTAAACTATTTTGTCGTCAATCTCAACATTATTAAAACTTTTCTCTTTTATTGTCGAAATGTTTTATATTAAAATTTTTATCATGTACTATTTTGCGCGTACAGTTAAGGCAATCTTTTTCCCATAACTTTAAATATGTCAGATTTAATATCAGGAAAACGTTCTTCTCCGTTTTCGTCGACAATGTCAATGAATTTTTTCTCCAGAAATACCTCGAATCCCGCGTTCGCCGCCGATTTTTGCGAGAATATCGACGTGAACACCGTAGACGTTGCCGGGATATTGTATTCGCGACCGACGTGGTTCCTATATCAAAATGTAATCGACGCGGAATTTGATTAGTATTGACATATAAAAAATTACATATAAATGTCTTTAGAAGCGAAAAGGTGGATTGTTTTCTATAAGAAAAATTATGCAGCTTTTTTTATGTAGTTTTAAACGATACAATTGCAACAAAAAAAAACAATTACTACGTTTATTGTGGCAACACGTTAAATAAGCGCTTGAGATACATACCTAATTTTTAGAATATCCGTGCCTAATCCGTATCCTCGAAACTCCGGTGTTACGCTGAGTCCAAGACTGTACAGATACTTGTCTATTCCGTAACGATCGTACACTATGTCGGTTCTATCTAAGAATCTGAAGTTATTTTGGCATTTTACCGATCCATACTGCAATAATAATTATTTTTATTCCCTTATAATTGGTACTCTTACACTGACAACATAACAGTTATGATACTGCATATGTTAAAATTTTTTCTGTTGGCGCGCGTGTTAATAAAAGTAGAACAATCATCTCAAAAAACTTAGATGATTGACGCATGATTGTGTTACATACTGACGTAAAAATGTCGTAAAAACTTTCTATACTGTGTATATCGTGCATCTATTGCACACAGATAACTAATTGGCGTAGTTACATTAGAAACGAGTTGATTGTAACAACAAGATAAGCGATACAAGATGTGGCCACGGCTACAGTTAACGGATTGCTATAATTGTTGTTTGAACATCTACACTTGCTCGTTAATTACTGTTTATCGCGTATATCTTTAAATGTGCAATCGGTTAAATATATAAATATTATTACAGAAAACTAACATATTAGATACCTTGAAATTTGAAATGGCGTCTTCTTTCTCTTTGTACTCAATAATAAGTGCGTTCATACCCGCGAGTATGGGTTTTCCGCCGTCGGGATTGTCGGTGAACGCTGCTACAGATATACCTAGCGAAAGCGATAAACGCCACGTTGCACAGATGTTTTTTACGAATGCGGAATCATTTTTGACATCTTTGAAAATGAAAAATAGCAAAACACAAAGCGCAATGTACCAATATAAACGCAAATAATTATACTTATTGTATTTGTATAAAATTATTTCATTTCCGAATATATTTCTTCTGAGATCTGAGGTAAATTTCGTAATAATTAGGTAACAATTTATATACCAAGTAAATATCAGATTAAAGATAATTGAGGTTTTAATAATTATTATTTACAAATATGCAAATAAATAAGATCGCATCGAGCCAATAAAAGGATGTTAATATACTAAAATAAATAGTTTAATGAACACGCTTTACATATATAAAAAATTAATTATTATTTAGTTTTGCGTTGTATGTTGAGTCTAAAATTTACTAGTAAAAATTACTTGCGTAAATAATATTAAACAAATAAAAAAACTCTTTTCTAAACGAAACTTACTCAAACACGCGCAGACCGGTTCGTCAGCCAAGTAGTATGTGCACATATGTTGAACAGCTTCCTCGTTTCTGTCCTCAGGAATCTCTTGAATCGTGAAATTTTTCCGCTTTCCGTCCTTACCTATTTTTTCAAGTACTTCCCAAACTTTGGGCGGCTGTCCGGATGGCTTGATACGCTCCATATTACTCATCATTTGTTTTAAAGTTGCATTTTTTTTTCAGTTCATTGTCCGCATAAACGTTCGTGTCGGATGACATTTGAATCAAACGTCATGGAAACGAAATATTCTCAACATTATACCGCAGCTGTTAAGTGAAGCAACGTACCTTGTAAACATGTCACGTTACACGAGCAAGATAGATATAGCTACATGAAGTCTACACTATTACGCGAGCTCAACTCTAAATTATTATTGACTTGACACAAGTACTACTCTAAACAATATAATTGAACAATATACTTAAATTTAATTGTTTTTTGTTAACGTGTCGAATTGAAAGATCAAAACTGAGTTCGTTGGCAAATCGAATATATTACATATTTACGTTACAATAACAATAACATACGTAATATATGACAAATAGCATGTAAACGTTCAACCATAACAGAAGACATGTAGACAAAATATAAGACATTGTATTGAAAAGCGTGAAAATTGCACGTTAAACGCGTATTGAAAATTTTATAAACAGATTATATGTATTAGCCGCGCGGAATTCTGGCGTATTTGCGCTTTAATTGCACGTAACAAAACGAAATGTTACAAATTATAGTTTCGATCTTATCTGCTGTCTGTAAGCTTTTACATACATACAAAACAATTAATAATTAAAAGAAATAGTTTTATTCGTAACAGGCGTAAATTTACTTACGTGTGAGTACGCTTCTGTGTGAGTTAATGTGTGTTAATATATGGCGCAACTCAATTGCATAATTGTCTACTAGTTGTAAATTTATAAAACTTTTGCGCGGTTATATATGTAATGCGCGTGTGCGATCTGTTCACTGAACGGCTTGCGTCGGACAATTGGCGTGAATTCTGTATGAACTACGATGTTTTATTTTCAATGTTTTGCAGCACTCCTCTGTTGGCGCAAAACAATCTTGTCAAAATAGTAAAAATAATGTTATTTTCTTTTTTCGTTATCTTGTTTGATATACGAATTTTTCTTTTTCATTATTTCGATTAAATTCGGCATTGTCTTACCCACACAACACGAGTGACTGATTGTCGACTTATAGTCGACCTTCTTCAGTCAACTTATAATCAACTTTTAAAAGTTTGACTTTTAGGGTGACTTTTAGCAGATGACTTAGAGGTGACTTTCGAAAATCGACTATAAATTGACTAGAGTTAACTATTTGCCGACATTTAGATGGTTTTTATAGGGTAAATTAAACATATTAATTGTCGACTTAAACATAATTGCATTTAATCAGCATGATGATAAAGGCTTCAAATATTTAAGATAAACACAGTAATATGACAAAGCCAATAGGAGCACAAACACTGTTGTTTGTGTGTTGAAACTTTATTGAATATATCGAGTGTACAAACGTTTCACCACACAAACAACAGTGTTCGTGCTCCCATTGGTCTTGTCACATTAGTCTTGTAACATATATATTTACGCATTTGTGTATATCTGACGCCTCCAGTCTCATTAAGTGTCAATTAATCATTGTGATCATTGCGTCGATTGTTTTTTAAGTACATTTTGGGAGTATTGAAAATTATATAATAATATACTATTCTTTCTCGTCAATTTAAAGGTACCTTAAAGTCGACTTTTCAACGGTTGATTATAAAGGGCCGTCTACAATGGAGAGTTGTAGGCCGTAATAGTAAGAAATTGACCAATCACAGACTAAGTACAGAAGAATAATCGATTGTGATTTGTCAATTTCTTACTCTTACGGCCTACAACTCTCTATTGTAGACGGCTCTTAAGTCGACGCTAGTGTTTACAGTTGTTGAGACGCTTACAGCATGCGGCAGCGTGAAGAGGGTGCGCACAACACGAGCAAGCATGCTGTAAGCGCTTAAAGCCTGTTCTACATTGATCGCAAAAGATGAATCGCACGATCGCATTGTCGCAAGGCGCAAGAATTGTGCGATTTGAGCGTCTACATAGTCATAAGTTACAGCCAATCAGCAAAGAGTAGAGAATAAAAAAGAAAAGAAAATGGTTTTTTGATCCACGTGAGAGATATTTTCAAATATTTCATAAAAATGGACGCAACAAAATATCGACGTTTTCCAATACTATTATTGCTTTGTGGCGTGCATGTGCAATTTTGTACTTGAGGTCACGAACATGGAATAAGAGAAGACGGTGGGTCCGTCCTATAAATAATTTTGAAAAACATCGTATCTTGGATTTTCATTTAAACTTATTTAAGGAAATAAAGTTAACTGATTACGAACAATTTTTCTTATATACACGTATGTGGCCACATATGTTTCAAGATTTATTAAATCAATACCTGCAATGTCATACAAATTATTGTTATAAAGTTTTGAACTATATGTTCTCTTAAATTTATTTCTATCAACAGGATCATCAACCAGATCATTGTCAGTAAATGTATTTTCTTTTAACTGAGTATTGTCTTTAAGACTGACATGCATTGGACGGTTCTTTGCACAAATTGAACTAGGAATACATCGTGACTCAATATTAAATGCACGTTTACTACTTTCACTTCTTGACAATATATTTCCTGATTTTTTAAGCATGTTTGATTTTGTCCTAAAAATAATAAAAAAATAATTTAATAATTCATGATACTTATATTTCGAATTCTTAATTAATTAATAAATTATAATCAAGCATAAGTACAGAATATGTGAAATATATGAAATGTTTAATGATATAAATACATGTAGTTTAAATATTTAATTATACATATTTATATTATACTTATTGTAGCACATACTAAGTAAACTAATGGATTTACAGTCTAATTATTATTAAATATTTAAGGAAAACCAAAAAGTATTAAACTAAAAGTAATAAATTAAATTAATGCAACTTATACATACTTATACATACTGGCGTGGTTTTATTACATCTGTTAGAAATAACAGCTCTTCATAAAGTGGCCACATTGGATTATAAATAGGCCAATTTGATCCAGCACCAGATCTCGGTTGAGATTCTCTCATTTTTTTATAATGACGGCTAAATGTAGTACGCAGTGTGCGAAATCTTTTTGCTGCAGCAGATCCTAAACAATTAAAAGCTTAATGTAGTAAAAAATTAACAACATTACATTATAAAGTTTCTATTAATTACTTACCTGTCATTGGAACTGGCAAAAGTGATCCTAAAGAGTCCCAGGCTAAGTTTTTTTTGTATGGAATTACTATACATTTTGGAACTCTTGTCCCAAAGTCCTGAATTATTTCTCACGAGTTTTATTAATTCAAGATCATTTTCATCTACATCATCGTCATTAAAGCTTGTGTCGAAAAATTCATCATCTCTATATTCTAAGTCACTCATTATAAATAATTTTTGAATTTCAATATATTGGTTATACGAATATAACAGATGAAAAAACTAAAAACATAAAAATTCTTAAAATCAACTTCAATAAATTTGATTTTGTGTATAAAACGAATAATGGATTATATACATACCTTAATATGCAAGTTAAAAATTGTAAAAAAAAGAACGAACAAAACGAGATAACGTAACATAATCAATTTTGTGACAAATATACACCGTATTAACACACGAGAGTGGGGAGCTCGATGCTTATTGGCTGTCGCAAGATCGCAGAGACGCAAACTTTAATTTTTGGCAAACTTTGCGATTTCTGCTTGCGACAACCTTACGACGATCGCAATATCGCTTGCGATCGTGCGATTCATCTCTTGCGATCAATGTAGAACAGGCTTAAGAAGATGCTGAACCGCTGGCAAACGTTCGCTTTGCTGCTATTCAACCGCTATGCTATCGAGTAGGTGGCGCTATTTCTCGGGACCGAATCAAACCAAAACAAGGATAAATGACATGAAAGAGCCAAGCATAGACATATGTTTCTCTCTGACGCGCTTCTGCTAAAATTGTATTAATCGTACTTGGACTTTTTCTTGTCTTACAAGGCTACAAAATCTTTTTTGAAGCACTCAACATATTTGTCTATGTTTCTAGTTCGGGATAAAGGTATTTTTCTTTGGAATTATATGGCCCATTTTGCATATAAAGTAAAAATGTAGTTTTTGTAATAACAGTCTATAAACTTTTTTTTGTTTTTCTTAAAGTTTTATGCTTTATCTCGTTCTTTACTATATTCTCTTTATTTCTGGAGAAGCATGTTTTATTCCGATTCTTAGTTTTTACAAAAAGTTCTAAATACGACATGAAGGTAAAACAGGACGGTTCAGCATCCTCTTAAGAAAGTACTTAGATACCGACTATAAATATGTGTAAATCGACGTTTACTTATTTGATTTTGTGTCGTATTTACTGCATCAAATCCAAAATACTCCTCCAAAATTAAGGAAATTGTCCTAAGAAAGTGCGTTTGTTTTTTAGAATGTCAAAATTTAGGATAAATTTTTTCTCTTATACAGTTTTCTTCTATAACCTCACTATATATTCATGTATGTAAAATTATTTCTACGCTTCTGCACGTATTTACACTGTACTGACACTAAGTACGACAAAAAAGAACATAATGACACTCAGATTATGATTTGACTACTTAATTAATGAGATAAATAATACTATTGTGATGAGACAAAATAAGTCATCTTATTTTGTCTCATCACAACAGTATCATATACTATCATTATAAATAAAAAAAGTTTAAAAGAATATTTTATCTCATTTTCAAAAGCAATATTTAGTTACTTATATTTATGTCCTTCTGTAGAAGCATTTTTCATGTGATGCAGTACACAACATTAGAAAGTAGAGAAATTTAAGTCTCTAAACCGTCGATTTACAGGTCTCCATAGTCGGTATCGAGTACTCTCTTAAGAATGTGAACACTGATTGATTTAATAGTTATTATTTGATATCTCTGTGTAGCACAGCAAATGTATTTAAAATTCAAAGTAACGCAAAAATTGTAAGCTCATATTAAAATTTATTATTTAAACCGGTTAGAAAAAAAATAACTGTTTAATTCATGATATTTCAACTTATATACATTTTTCTCTGCGATAATTTTTAATTTTAGTGAACACATTTATTGTATTACTCTAAATAACCAAAATTGATTCTTATAAGATGTCCTAGCTAACCAAAATTGACAACTTAAATAACTGAGTATTCTTTATAGTAACTTCCCCGATAGCCAAATGATAGCAGTATGCCAGCAGTATGCACGCAGGTTTAATCAGCACTTTGCAGCAGATTCCACTCAGCTGTGTCATCATAGTGAGTGAATTATGTAGGCACGATACGTAAAGAAAACAACACAGCAAAAATATAGAAATAAATAAAGAATGAAATGACAATAGCACGTTATGCTTCAAATCTGCTACATTTTTTGAGCAAGTTCTGCTTGATTGATGCAATAATATTTGCATCACGGCATGAAATATTTATATTCTTTTTTTTTCTGTTTTTCTGTCGACACTAGTTGAAATAACAGATTATGTTTAAATGCTGGCTATATTATACTAACATAATGTGTTATTGCAGACTTTGCAAAATATGATCACTCAGTCTTGGTTATCTGGGTTACGTTACTACTTAAGTTACTATAAATAATAATGTAAGTTACTAATATGACGTAATATAAATAATATAAATAATATAAATAATATAAATAATATAATAAATATAAATAACATAAATAATATAAATATTGACGTAATAAAAATAATATAAATAATATAAATAATGACGTAATATAAATAATATAAATAATACCGTAAGTTATTAAGTTATTTATAGTAATTTAAGTTACTATACTAAATAATACTTAGCTATGTGATAGTTACATTCAACTTTTTTTACTTTATCGGGCAATGATGTCTGTAAGATATTTTGTAGTTATGCAGTGTGCCATACGTTAACAAAAAGATAAAACGTTACCTATCTAAACAATAACTATTTAATTAGTTAAGCTAGTAATACTCGAGTTATAGGTACCTTTTAGTCCACAAGTACTCGTCTTAAAGTCACCTTATAATCGACTCGTCGCTTATAAAGTCGATCACTAGTTACCTCAATCTACTTCTAGTCAATTTTAAATTAACTTACAGTCGACTAATAGTCACCTCGGATAGTCGACTATTTTTTGAACATTTGTCATCTTTTAATTGACAATAAGTCAACATACAGACTGCCTTAAAAGTCGACTCTTGAGTTCTCCAGTCGACTTATAGTCAACTTTTAGTTGACTTCGTGTTGTTTGAATTATCAGTAATACACCACATGGACAGATGTGGCATAATTATCACTTTTTGTTATAAAACATGTTACAAAAACATAATGAAAACTTTATTAAAAACGTTATATGTATATGGTAAAATAAAATATACACATGAATATATGTGTGTCTGCGTACACATATTAGATATTTTGTGTTTGTTTGTTTTTTGTATAAAAAATTATTCCGTAACCAAATACTCACACGTACACGTGTTTTTATAAGACACGCCTATAATCTTTTTCTGTGTTACAAGATTACAGAAGTTATTATTCAAACTCTAAATGTAAAGAGAGAAAAAGAAAGTACATATGAAACATATAATAATTGCGCTTATGTGTATTATATACTTTCTCTCTCTCTATTTTATATGTGTAGTAATGAATATACACACATAACAAGTAAGTATGACAATTGTGTAATGACAGATGATATTGCGATTATACACTTTGCGCGATATTTCTGTTTAATACTTAAAAATGGTAAAACCACACTTTATACGCTTAGCCCGCACGACCTATGTGACACGAAATACATATATTAACTCATACTGATAATGAAGCGAGTTAGAATAATCGTAAATTTATCCGCGTCTTATCAACGCGTACATAAGCATTTTTCTCTTCTTATGCAAAATGATTTTTATTAGTGCTGTTTTAAAAAAAACTCATAACTTTGTTCTTCAATGATAATATGTTTATTGTATAATACTTTCATACATGATTGTTAATAAGGTTTGAATAGCAAACCTATATATTGTAAAGAACAATACAACACTGTTTCCGAACAAAGTATTATCTAAATTTGTTTTCGAATCAAAATAAAGTAAAAGGTGCTTGTTCATTGATGTTCGTGTACATAAAACATACTTGGTCTGATTGTGAGTAATTTAACGTGTACATAAAACATACTTGATCTGAGTGTACAAACAAAGTGGTGCTGGTCATACTGATGATGCTTTATTGAGTAAAACCATTTGTGAAAACTATAAAACATACATACACAAGTAACATCAAAAATGTAAATTATGCGACTAAGTGAGAGGAAAGCTGCAACAATTAAACCGTTTGAAAACGGTTTAACGTTTGTAACGTTGCGTTACCAAGAAAAATAATTCGAAACGCAAGGAGCGATACACCTAATAACAAATAATACTTTTCACGCACGTTCATAATGGTAAAACACGTCACGTTACATTATTTCACATATGCGCGTAAATTTACAATATGAGTTTAAAAAGTTGCTACTTTTCAAACTATTTTGTCGTCAATCTCAATATTATTAAAAATATTCTCTTTTATTGTCGAAATGTTTTATATTAAAATTTTTTATCGTGTACTATTTTGTGCGTACAGTTAAAGCAATCTTTTTCCCATAACTTTAAATATGTCAGGATTAACACCAGGAAAACGTTTTTTTCCGTTTTCGTCGACAATGTCGCTGAACTTTTTCTCCAGGAATACCTCGAATCCCGCGTTTGCCGCTGAGTTTTGCGAGATTATCGACGTGAACACCGTAGACGTTGCCGGGATATTGTATTCGCGACCGACGTGGTTCCTATATCAAAATGTAATCGACGCGGAGTTTGATTATTATTGACATATAAAAAATTACATATAACTGTCTTTAGAAGCGAAAAGGTGGATTGTTTTCTACAAGAAAAGCTATGCAACTCTTTTTATGTAGTTTTAAACCATACAATTGCAACGAAAGAAAACAATCTACTACGTGTAGTGTATCAACACGTTAAATTAAAGCTCTTGAGATAAATACCTGATTTTTAGAATATCCGTGCCTAATCCGTATCCTCGAAACTCCGGTGTTACGATGAGTCCATAAGCGTACAGATACTTGTCTATTCCGTAACGATCGCACACTATGTCAGTCAAATCCGAGAATCTAAATTGGCAGTTGTCCATTGAACACTGCAATAAGAATTATTTTTATTCACTTATAATCGATACTCTTACACTGACAACATAACAGTTATGATACCACATATATTAAAATTTTTTTTGTTGGCGCGCGTGTTACCAAAAGTAGAACAATCATCTCAAAAACCTTAGATGATTGGCGCATGAGTGTGTTACATACTGACGTAAAAATATCGTAAACAATTTATATACTGTGTACATCGAGCATCTATTGCACACAGATAACTAATTGGCGTAGTTACATTAGAAAAGAGTTGATTGTACCAACAAGAGAAGCGTTACAAAATGTGGTCACGGCTATAGTTAACGGATTGCTATAATTGTTGTTTGAACATCTACGCTTGCTCGTTCATTACTGTTTATCGCGTATATCTTTAAATGTGCAATCGGTTAAACATATAAATACTATTACAGAAACCTAACATAGTAGATACCTTTTTTGGAGTGGCGTCTTTTTTCTGTTTGTGCTGAATAATAAGTACGTTCATACCCGCGAGTATGGGTTTTCCGCCGTCGGGATTGTCGGTGAACGCTGCTACAGATATACCTAGCGAAAGCGATTGACGCCACACTGCACTCATGATTTGTACGCATAAGGGAGTATTTTTGAGATCTGTAAAAATGAAAAATAGCAAAACACAAAACGTAATATACCAATATAAACGCAAATAATTATACTTATTGTAAGTGTATAAAAGTATTTCATTTCCGAATATATTTCTTCTGAGATCTAAGGTAAAGTTCGTAATAATAAGTAACAATTTATATACTAAGTAAATATCAGATTAAAAATAATTGAAGTTTTAATAATTATTATTTACAAATAAGCAAATAAATAAGGTCGCATTGAGCCAATAAAAGAGTGTTAATATACTAAAATAAATAGTTTAATGAACACGTTTTACATATATAAAAAATTAATTATTATTTAGTTTTGCGTTGTATGTTGAGTTTAAAATTTACTTGTAAAAATTACTTGCGTAAATAATATTAAACAAATAAAAAAACTCTTTTCAAAACGAAACCTACTGAAACACGCGCAAAGCGGTTCGTCAGCCAAGTAGTATGTGCACATATGTTGAACAGCTTCCTCGTATCTGTCCTCAGGAATCTCTTGAATCGTGAATTTTTTCCGCTTTCCGTCCTTACCTATTTTTTCAAGTACTTCCCAAACTTTGGGCGGTTGTCCAAATAGCTTGATACGCTCCATATTACTCATCATTTGTTTTAAAGTTGCATCGCTTTCTCAGTTCATTGTCCGCATAAACATTCGTGTCGGATGACAGTTGAATTAAACGTCATTAAAACGAAATATTCTCAACATTATACCGCAGCTGTTAAGTAAAGCAAGGTACCTTGTAAACATGCCACGTTACACGAGCAAGATAAATATAGCTACATGAAGTCTACACGATTACCCGAGCTCAACTCTAAATTATTTTTGACTTGACACAAGTACTATACTCGTTACAACAACAATAACATACGTATTATATGACAAATAGCATGTAAACATTCAACCATAACAGAAGACATCTAGACAAAATATAAGACATTGCGTGGAAAAGCGTGTAAGTATCACGTAAAACGCATATTGAAAATTTTATAAACAGATTATATGTATTAGCCGGGAGGAATTTTGGCGTATTTGCGCTTTAATCGCACGTAACACAACAAAATGTCACAACAAATTATAGTTTCGATCTTATCTGCTGTCTGTAAGCTTTCACATACATACAAAACGATTAATAATTAAAATAAATAGTTTTATCCGTAACAGGCGTAAATTTACTTACGTGAGAGTACGATTCTGTGTGAGTTACTGTGTGTTAATATATGGCGGAACTCAATTGCACAATTGTCTACTGGTTGTAAATTTATAAAACTTTTGCGCGGTTATATATGTAATGCGCGTGTGCGATCTGTTCACTGAACGGCTTGCGTCGGCTAGTTGGCGTGAATTTCTGTATCAACTACGATGTTTTATTTTCAATGTTTCGCATCACACATGTGTTGGAGCAAGGTAATCTTGTCAAAATAGTAAAAATAATGTTATTGTCTTCTCTCGTTATTTTGTTTGATATACGAATTTTTCTTTTTGAATATTTTGATTAAATTCGGCATTATCTTACCCACACAACACAAGTGACTGATTGTTGACTTATAGTCGACCTTTTTCAGTCAACTTATAGTCAACTTTTAAGTTTGACTTTGTGACTTGTAGCAGACGATTTAAAGTTGACTTTCGAAAGTCGACTATAAATTGACTAGAGTCACCTATTTGCCGACAATTAGATGGCTTTTAAAAGGTAAATTAAACATAATTATAGTCGACGTAAACAAAATTGCATTTAATCAGCATGGTGGTGAAGGCTCCAAATATCCAAGATAAACACGGTAATATGACAAGGGCAATGGGAGCACGAACACTGTTGTTTGTGTGTTGAAAATTTATTGAATATATAGAGTGTACAAACTGTTGACCCCACAAACAACAGTGTTCGTGCTCCCATTGGTCTTGTCACATTACAGTGTTTATCTTGGATAATTGTATTTGTCATCGCGCTAACATATATATTTATTCATTTGTGTATATCTGACGCCTCCAGTCTCATTAAATGTCAATTAATCATTGTGATCATTGCGTCGTTGTTTTTTAAATATATTTTGAGAGTATTGAAAATTATATAATAATATACTATTNGTCGATGTAAAATTACCTTAAATTCGACTTTTCAACGGTTGATTATAAGTCGACGGCAGTGTTTACAGTTCTTGAGACGCTTACAGCATGCAGCAGCGTGAAGAGGATACGCACAACACCAGTAAGCATGCTGTACTGAAGCGCTTAAGAGGATGCTGAACCGCTGGCAAAAGTTCGCTCAGCTGCTATTCAACCGCTATGCTATCGAGTAGGTGGTGTCATCTCTTGGGACCGAATCAAACCAAAACAAGGATAGGATGAGAGAGCCAAGGAAAGACATATGTTTCTCTCCGACGCTTCTGCTAAAATTGTACTTGGAATTTTTCTTGTCTCACAAGGCATCAAAATCTTTTTTGAAGCACTCAAAATATTCGTTCTATGTTTAGTTTGGGATAAAGGTATTTTTATTTGGATTTATATGGCTCATTTTGCATATAAAGTAAAAATACAGTTTTTGTAATAACAGTATATAAACTTTTTTTTGTTTTTTTTAAAGTTTTATGCTTTATCTTATTCTTTACTATATTTTGTTTATTTCTGGAGAAGCATTTTTTATTCCGATTCATAGTTTTCACAAAAAGTTTTAAATACGACATGAGGGTAAAACAGGACGGTTCAGCAACCTTTTAAGAGAGTACTTGAATACCGACTATAGATATCTGTAAAACGACGTTTAATTATTTGAGTTTTGTGTCGTATTTACTGCATTAAATCCAAACTACTGAACCAAAATTAAGTAACTTGTTCTAAGAAAGTGCGCTTGTTCGTTAGAATTTCGAAATTCAGAATAAAATTTTTTTCTTATACAGTTTTCTTCTATAACCTCACTATATATTTATGTATGTAAAATTATTTCTAAGCTTCTGTACGTATTTACACTGAAGTGACACTAAGTACGACAAAAAAGAACATAATGACACTCAGATTATGATTTGACTACTTAATTAATGAGATAAATAATACTATTGTGATGAGACAAAATAAGGTATCATATGCTATCATTATAAATAAAAAAAGAGTTTAACCGAGTATTTTATCTCATTTTCAAAAGCAATATTTAGTTACTTATATTTATGTCCTTCTGTAGAAGCATTTTTCATGTGATGCAGTACACAAAAGTAGATAAAATTAAGTTTGTAAACCGTCGATTTATAGGTCTTCATAGTCGGTATCGAGTACCCTCTTAATAATGTGACCACTGATTGATTTAATAGTTATTATTTGATATCTTTATGTAGCATAGCAAATGTACTTAAAATTTAAAGTTACGCAAAATTTGTAAGTTTATATTAAACTTTATTATTTAAACAAGTTAATAACTGTGTAATTCATGATATTTCATCTTATATATATTTTTCTCTGGGATAATTTTTAATTTTTGTAAACACATTTATTGTGCTACTCTGAATAACCAAAATTGATTATTATAAGACGTCACAGCTAACCAAAATTGATAAATCAAATAACTGAGTATTCTTTATAGTAACTTACGTTACTACTTAAATTACTATAAATAATAACGTAAGTTACTAATATAAAGAATAACGTAATATAAATACTATAAAGAATACCGTAAGTTTCTAAGGTATTTATAGTAACTTAAGTTATACTATACTAAATAATACTCAGCTATGTGATAGTTACATTACACTTTTTTTACTTTATCGGGCAATGATGTCTGTAAGATATTTTGTACTTGTGCAGTGTGCCATACGTTAACAAAAAGATAGAACGTTACCTATCTAGATACTAACTATTTAATTGGTTGAGCTAGTAATACTCGAGTTAGAGTTAACTTTTAGTCGACATATACTCGTCTTAAAGTCA